AAWKKWAMYYCMARRRGRMYTTTGAGAAAAACAGATGAGAGTGTCARCATTTGAAGTTTCTTTTTTCAATAGTAAAATAATCTCCACACCTGAAGCAAAACCAGAACCATCAGAAACTGTGGCATCTTCTTCAGCATCTTCAACCTTACCACCAGCTAGTGAATCATCTTTATCAACACAAAATAAGCCATCTGTATCTGGTGCCAATGTATTCATGTAAGTTTGAGCATAGACTTAACCAAGTCAAACTCCTTTATTGGAGAATTACTTACCAAGTTTGRGTTCTTGTTAGAAAAGAAAGACAGCTGTTTGAGTGTAATACAATATTTAAGTTGTGAGCTGCAGGTCAGAACATGTTATAAAACTAAGAAAGTCATAGGCTGGCAAAATATCATGGATGTTAGATGCATTTGTTATAAAATAATCGGTCTTTGTTTTCGTCATGATTATCTTATATTGAATAATAATTATCTCTTGTCTTTAGCTCCAATAAACCTAAAAGAAAAACCATTCCACAGCTTGTATATGCACTTCTATCAGATAAACAACTGAGAAAAAAGTTGTCAGAGTACAAGTTATCAACACAAGGGACTAGACAGGTATTGGCAATACTTTCCATCTAAGAAAACAACCATATTGCCAACCAACTGAACAAACATTACAATCAACTTAAACCAACCCAAAAGACAATTAAACCATTCAAACAACCAAGTAGCAAAGACATCCAAACACCAATGCTCTAAACAACCAGTAATAACCATTAATGAAGTATTAAATTATTGCTTTTTAGGCAATGATTAAGAGATATCAAGAATTTGTTACAATTTATAATGCACAGTGTGATGCTAAAAATCCCAAAACAGGTATAAAAATATTATGAATTATTGACTCCTTTAGGAATTATTCAACTTTTTTTCTCATTTTATGACTAAGTAAAGAGATTTCCTTTGATCTCCTACTGTGTACCTTTTGAAATGATTTTTTTTCTTATCTAAATATTGCAGCTTCTGTGATTGTAAAAGAAATTGAAATCAGAGAGCGTTCCAAAAAGTTTACCACSACTACTACTGACTCTGTAAGTCAATTATTGATTATAATGTAAACTGCTGACTGTGTTTAGTATTGAATTTTCTAGACCTGTTTACAGGTATTGCATTCTTTGAATAAAGACTCCAGTTCAGAAGAAGTAGACAAAGCRCGACAAACATATTGTGAGTAGAAAMCATGCTTGAATGAATGYAAACRATGCTCATTTTAGCCAATCATGTGTGCTTATAAAGCAAGCATCTACTGAATAGATTCATTCATTGGGTGAAAATAATATCTAGTATGAAATAATA